TTACACATAAATCCTTAGAGCAGGATACAGTAGCGGCTGTTAGCAACCACAGATTAATTAGGAAGTGTAACCCCTTATTTAGCAGAAGGGTCAAGGGAAATTGGTGCTAAACATTATCCTGGGTGGTTAGAGGAAAAAGCAACCTCACCATTTCCTCTTTTGATAAATGTATGTTCTGTCACTGAACATAACATATGGGTGATCCTCATTTAACAGCCAATCATTCAGCAACTGCTCAAACTGATGATAGTGCTGAACAAGTGGTAGTTTTAACCAGTCCTTGGAATTCTGGCTGCCAGCACTTTTATTTCCAACAACAGGTAAAGTCAATGTGGAAGACAGAAGGAAATCGGAAGTGGAGGGCATTGCTTATTGAAGCAACTAGGACAACTAAGTGGTGCAGTCACGTGTATTTTATGACTAATGTCAGCGTTCCAAGTGAACCCTCCAGGCAATTCAAAACTCTGAGACAAAGTCCATCAAAGTAAGAATTTATTAGAGAAGTCATGTTGGCACATCTGGGGAAAACCTGAATCTGAATTCCCGCGTTTCCCCCCCTCCATGCTAAAACTCACACCGTGCTCCATTTAGTGGCTCCCCAGTCACATTAACCAATCAATCCCTTGTCTCAACTGCCACCAAATTCCAGTCACTTCCCTCCAAATGACAGCAACTTGTCCTTGAGCTCTGGCAAAAGAATGTTGTGGCTATACTCGCTTCACTGCTCTCCTGTTTCCCATCCCCCATTGTGGCAGCCCAGAATCCGAATCAAGATGGATCCGGGGCTGACAACTACATTGTCAGCAATGACAATTCTGGTCCAAGTTGCTCTAGTAAACTGAGGTCTGCCTGTAATCTCAACATTTCAAATGTGCCTCTCTCTTTAAAAAAAAAATAGAGATTCCTGCTTTAGAAAAGGGATTCACAGTGGAAAGTTGGTGATTTATATCCTGCCTTTCTGCCATAGCAGATATCATGGGAGCATGGAAGCAGGCACGGTGAGCCCAAGAAGTGACATTGGATAGGGAGAAGCAGAATGAAGATGAATTAAAAAGCTGGAAATGGGCCATGAAATTTTAAAAAATCTCTTCTCGGCTCCCCCCCACCCCCGTCCCCCAGTAAGATTTCTGAATCTCTGACCCAGCAATTCGCTTGAGATGTGCTAAGTGCTTTTTTAGTTTTTCATTTCTTTCTCCTTCCTCCAGCCTTGTGAGCTATTCTGAGGCAATAAAAAAGGAGATCACAAATAAGGTCAACATATGAAATGGAAAAGAAGAGAATTGCTTTCATTTGCTATTGTCAATTGTTAAGATTATGTGAATCAAGCCTAACAAGGACTTCCGTTAAGAAAGCTTATACTCATATAATGTCAGGATCAAAATCATATCATTGCTGTGTCAGTGGAATGGCCACCTTATCCATATGTCCTTAACTGAAAAAGGATCAGAAAAAAGAATCTGAAAATGCCCAAGTATCAGAAAGTCAGGCATAACTCCAGTGGTCCTGAAATTGTATGTGATTGTGCCAAATACACAGGTAGCAACTAAATGTTCAGCAACCTATCCTTACACCATCAATATTATATAATAGTCAAGATAATGCCATGGTGCCTCCAGTGCATCAGACTGTAAAGGGTAGAGGGGATGGCCTTGAAGGACAGAAGGAAGAATAGCTACCATGGCAACAGTCAGATAAGAGGGACTTGAGCCAAGGCCAAAAAAAGTAACCTGACAAAATGCCTCAGACAAACCCCACGCTAGCTCACACGAAGGGAAATAAGGCTCATTTAGTCTTCAAGTTTCTGTTATTGTAGTTGTTGCAATAAAAGGAGTTCTGACCTATATGGCATAGGTTTCTTAGTCTGGTCTACCTGGTAGGATTGACCCAAGTACACTGTTTTGCAAAGCAGCTGGGACAAGAACGAAGAAACAGAGCAGAGGAGGCCATAGCACAGGTCAGCAGCAGCGGACAAGCCCAGCTCTCATAATTCTCTGACCACATCTAATCCAGTGATGGAGCTGAGACTCAAACCTTTCTATCTCAGATCTTTAGTGGGCTGAATGATCTTAAGGACTGGGACTGCCATGATTGAAGTGACCACTTTGGATAGAAAACTGCATCTGGGAATTACACCTGAGCATGGTATAGCAACAGTTAGGAGTGGTGCAGTGGCCTAGCGGTGGAGGTCTCACCTCACAATCCAGAGGCGGTAAATTCGATCCTAAGTAGAGGCAGATATTTCTCTCTCTGGGCACAATGAAAATATATCTGCTGAACAAAACTCCGCATTGGCGACAGGAAAGGCATCCGGCCAGTAAACACTCTGCTAGCTCCATTCAGTTGTCCAGACTTTACCTTGCAAGGGATTATGGAATCATTAAAAGAAGATGATGATGGTGTAGCAGCAGTTCTTTCTTCTATATGGAGGAAGCAGCTACTCTCGGCCTTCTCTGGTATATAGAAGAGGGGACTATCTTTCTCCACAGGCATTTTTCCCTCTTACTGTCTCTCAAAAATAAAAGTACAATTTCCTGTGTTGAGGAAGGCGGTTGGAAAAGGTTATAATTCATTTGTTGATTGATTACATTCTATCAAATCAATGATGAATCTTAGCAGGGGAAATGGAATGGGGCTGGGGCAAGAGCTAAGATCAGAAGTAATTCAGATGAGAAATCCTGATGGGTCATATTCAATATGAACTTATTCACTGCCTGATTATGCCAACTAACCAAATTAGTTGCTGATCGGGGGTTATGTGGTTCGATGCAGAAGTCAAGGAGTATCATCGCAAATGCATGCCAGATAGAATGACTATCACAGTTTTTCTCTCACTCATTTCAGTCTTAATCCTTCTAAGAGAAGTAACTCATAAATTCAGATGCAAAACATTTGATAACCAGTCAATCAGAAGACAAAGATGTTTGATCTGAGTGGGCGTCTGTGAGTGAATTAAATCAAAGTCCAGCTTGCTCAGAAATTGTAGAAATACTTTGCTATGAGGAAGAAGTAACAAGAGATGGATAAAAGTATCTTTCTCAATCTATTAGACTTCAAGGATATCACTTAAAACTGACCTCAGAAAAGCATAATCTATGTAGCAAAGCAGAAGTCATTTTTAAAGAGAGAATCTTTACAAAGTGAAGAAAGATAAAATAATTTGGCTACCTAGAAGTACTATTTTTAGAGACATTCTCTGCTGGATGAGAATTAAGAAAAGGAAAATGACCCAAAGGTGATTTTTCAAGAAGCAACTGGACTTTCTGTTTTTTTCTTTGAAGATGTTTCACTTCTCATCCAAGAAGCTTCTTCAGCTCTGACTGAATGATGGGGGCAGATTCCCCTTAGATCTCCTATTAGCAGCTTAGCTAAAGCTACCTTGTCCCAGATTTCTTTAGTTACTTGACTAAGTGCTATCAGCTTGTAGAAACCTCAACAGTATTTAATTGTAATCTCTAGAAAGGAGAATGGCTGATTAAGCAAAGAGCCTTGCTATCCTACAAAGGCATGAAGTTTTAACTTCTCAAAAACCCATATATGGAGTTAGGGATAGAAAACCAAGATGGGTTAACATCTCTCATAATCTAAAGCACGGGTCCTCAAATTATTCACCTCATCTATCAGATGACTGCAAGGAATATAAATCCTTCTACTCTTGACAATTCCGTCAAAAGAGAAGAAGTCTTCAAGGAAAAACAAAGAAAGTCCAATTGCCTCTTGAAAAAATACCTTTGGGACAACCATTACCTGGATGGTTGAGAATCTCCATAGACAAGAAGAAAGATGACTTCATTCTCTGACAGCATCTAGCTTGCCATTATGGAGTGTAGGACCATGGACAGATCCAAGGATGGAGAAAAATTAGAACTGTATCAAATGGAAGTCTCTAAGCAATTTTCAGTCAGTGGAATCCCAATTATTGAACTTTAGCAGCAACAGCAACAAATGGACTTTCTCCCTGAGAAAACCTAATTCCCACAAAAATGTATAATATTAAAATGCAGAAAATAGTTAGAATTGCATTTTTGTGTGCAAAATGTACAATGGTACTTGTTCAGTTCTTATCGAAAATGAATTATCGGGCTCAAAACGTTTCCATGAAAAAGTGTGTGGCTTTTCTGTATGTCCCAATCGGTATTTCCTACAGTTTTAATTAAACAACAACCACAACCACAAGCTAAGACCTTGTCAGAGTATATTCATGAACTGGAATAGAGCATGGTAACAAGGTCAGCCAATGAATAGGCATAGCAACTAAAGCAGCCAATGAGGACTGTTTTGGAAACAGAAACTAGAAGCAGCCTAGGCTGGAAACTGAAACTAGAAGTAGCCTAGGCGTGGCTCTATATTAAGCTCTGAAGCTGTGTGGAGCTCTGACTCTGTCTATTGAAAATGAAACTGCTTCTCTCCTCTGCTGTGTATAATGCTTGCCTGCTGACCTAAAATAAAACTGATGTTTTTGCTCGTGCTGCTGAAGTTACTTGCAACATGTTTCTGTTTGAGTTTGCTCCATTTTGGAGAAATCTACAACTGGTTTGTAAAATTTACTTATTATGTTTATAAAGACATTAAATGAAGCATCAGCCATCTGTGTTTATTTTTCTGGTGCTAAATTAACGCTGCAAAACTCTGAATAACCCTGGCCCTTCATGGTTTAATATGGGAGGAGTTTTTACCTGCTCTTAAAATCTTACCTGAAACGCCGAGAACAGAACCCCTTTCACATTTTTGGAAGACAACTATACAAGATAGAAGGATTTCACGGGCTACAGTAATGGCCAAGAGGTAGCATTAAATGACAATGTTTAGTAAAAGAGGTGAGATGTAAGCATATTGTACCATCCCATTTCAATCAATATATTTACTGATACTAACGACTGAGGGATCCTTTGGCTTCAAGGATAAAACAGCAACGCAGCAATGTGCTGCAGCTGAGTGGTTTTATTCGTTTGTATAATTGCTTCTTATTAATTGGTACTCTGCATAATAAAATAAGCACTCACCTTCACAGTCTGACCAGCTTCAGGACCATCCTGTGGGGAGAAGTGGAAGAGGGGAAAAGAGAGGAAAGGAAAGTGGGGGAGAGAATTAGATAATAACAGCCAACAAGATTCTCCCGGGCATTCAAAACAATTGCCCATTAATAATTTAAATTTAATTTCATTGTGCATTAATTTATAGCACTCTTGTGGGGATGATCTGGCACCAAAGTATTTGGGAACAGACACCTTTCTATTTCAGTCCCAAATCCAATAGGAAATGATGGAACTGAGGAGAAAAAGTTCTGGCACATTTGTTCCTCTTGGTCCTCATCATCTCAGATCACAGATGCTCTTAATAATGTTGGTGCTCATCAAGATTTATGGGGACTGTTTAGAAAAGACATGTTGTTTGCAGACATAATATAGTAGGATGCCCTTTTTGGTTTAATATGATTTTAACAAAAGGTCTGAAGTAACCAGTGCAACCCATTCGTTCACAGCTGTGTCCCAGAAACTAAACAGAGTTATCCACTTGGTGGGAGGACCAATGAGCTTTTTGTACAAGACTCACATTCTGTGGGCAGCTTAAAAAGCTATTTATACTTAAATCCAAGATTAAAATTAATACATGAAACTTCATTACCCTGTTCAGTCAGGATATGCTTTATAGTTTGTTTTATGGTAGTATGCCAACATGGAATAACATGGTCGAAGCTGTCTTTAATGGATTTTGAGGATTTCAGGTTTCTCAGCCTTGTTGACCCTAGGTAAACCCTGGAATCCTGTATGAATGTTGCAGTATGGTGTTGTGCTATGGTATGGTTTCTAACTCTTGAAAGCTATTTTTGCAAATGTGCAAAAACTATTCATTGCATGCATTCTTCTCTCTCCTAGGGCATTTGGAGAATTGTCCCAGAGGACATTAAATTAATTACCAAGGAGTTTTTTTAGAAAAAGAAATAAAAATCTAAGTTACGGTAGCTACAATATTGACTTTTAGTTGATGTTGCTATAGTGAACCCCACTTCACATAGGAAATTTCAGGTAGGTTCCTTAAGAACTATTTTTGGTATTATAAACTTTAAAAAGTGTATTTTGGGAGCTTTTGTATAACAATGTATAAGGACAAGGTGATCAATTTTTTTTTCTCTAATCAAATCACACTACTAGTACTAACCTGAACCGAAATGGTGAGCGAAGTTCCTCCAAAATGTTGCTCCACTATATTGCCAACTGCTTGTGTTGTGTGAAATAAATCAGCCACTTCCTCAGGATGCAAGTCACGGAAGCGTTCCACAGGGCGGAGAGGGCAAATGAGAACATCTGATTTTTACAAAGTTAAGGAACAACTTTGAACTGCAGCAATCCATTAGGAAGATACTGTGCTAGATATTCAGTTCCACCAAAAATATATAGAAGAGAACATGTTTTTCAATAAAAATTGATTAAGGAAGGAAGGAAGGAAGGAAGGAAGGAAGGAAGGAAGGAAGGAAGGAAGGAAGGGATAGAAGAAAGGAAGGAAGGAAAAATAGGTAGGAAGGCATAAACAGAAGGAAGGAAGGAAAAATAGGGAGGAAGGAAAAATAGGAAGGAGGAATAGGGAGGAAAGGATAAATGGAAGGAAGGAAAAATAGGAAGGAAGGGTTGGAAGAAAGGAAGGAAGGAAAAATAGGGAGGAAGGAATAAACGGAAGGACGGAAGGAAAAATAGGGAGGAAGGGATAAACACAAGGGAAGGGATAAATGGAAGGAAGTAAGGAAGGAAAAATAGGGAGGAGGGAAAAATAGGGAGGAAGGGATAGAAGGAAGGAAGGAAGGAAAATAGGGAGAAAGGGATAAATGGAAGGAAGGAAAAATAGGGAGGAAAGAAAAATAGGGAGGGAGGGAAAATAGGGAGAAAGGAATAAATGGAAGGAAGGAAGGAAAATAGGGAGGAAGGGATGGAAGGAAGGAAGGAAGGAAGGAAGGAAGGAAGGAAGGAAGGAAGGAAGGAAGGAAGGA